CCTAACGAATGCCTATGCGTGACCATCATCAGAACAACCGCAACCACTCTAACAAGAGCGCCAGATTAAAAAGAAGAGAAAAACTATTTTCTTTTTTTGAATTCATGCCAGGAGAATATATTGTGAACAAAACACAAATAACTTTCTTTAAAAGTTTAAAGTATTCACAACGCAATTTTTCAATGCATCATGACGACTCAGTATTTCCCTATAGCTTCGTTTTGTAGCAAGTTCGAGTGATCGATCCGAAAGAAACTAACAACAAATCAGAGATTTCAAAATGATTTTATCGATACTTATATTTTTTTGTCGATACAATTTTAGTACTGTGTGTGTTCTGCCTTTTCGTCTCAATCTTTACCCCCGAGTTCATAGGCACTGAATCGTGAAGCCTTAGTTTCAAGTTCATCGGAATATGAGTCTTATCTGTATGATATAAATTTGGCTCCATATACCGTAAGGTTCATTTTGTGTTCATGCAAGATCGTATCTTTTGACCTTTGACCTATATCGTCGATCGATGTTTAGGAGTTACGATTAAGGATCATTAGAGAAGCTTTGATTTAAAAATAACAACATAATCTTACAAAGTCTTACTTATATACATAATATATCCGAGCTCTAATAAGCTCTAAGCTTACAATCGCTTATTTAAAATAAGGTGTTACCGAGCCTCATCATACTCTCTTTCAATACCTGAAGGTAGTATGTCGAGTTATTAATGAGATCATATAGCCTTAGGCCTTAAATTGCCTATTTTACCAATCTTTTGTGGTGGGTGTCAGTCATCTAAATAAATCTCCTTTGGGCCGATCTCCTCAAAACTGCCTTAACATTTTTATAAAACATCTATAATTTCCATATCCGGACTCATGTAATATTCAATAATGAAGCTTGTTCGTCACAGAAATACCATCTCGGAATTCAACTGTCGACATTATCATAAACGAATATACAGTCCAGACGTAAATGTAGTGCACGGGATCCTGGCAATAAAAGTTTATGGTCCACCGAAAGTCTCATAAAACATCGACCTTCAGAATGTGATTATCGATAAACGAACACCGCAACACTATTCTAGTTACGACGACCAAGTTATACGTAGCCCCATGAAGAAAGAAATAAAATTGTACTCATATTTACTTACTTTTGATCGACATCCATACAATGTTTGTGAGAACGTAATAACGTAATGTCCTGAAGGCTGTCTCTTATTACGTAGAGAATGTGTAAAGTTCTCTTAATGCGGGAACAGGTTTTCTTTGTGAATCGACTGCCTTTTGTTTATGAATTTATTGTTCACATCAGGTATGTGTTTCAATTTTTTTTTGCTTCGATGGCTGGACGAGCTCACAGCCCACCTGACGTTAAGTGGTTACTGGAGCCCACGGACATCTACAACGTAAATGCGCCACCCACCTTGAGATATAAGTTCTAAGATCTCAGTATAGTCACAACGGCTGCCCCACCCTTCAAGCCGAAACGCATTACTGCTTCACGGCAGAAATAGGCAGGGCGGTGGTACCTACCCGCGCGGACTCACAAGAGGTCGTACCACCAGTATTTATAAAGTAAATTACCAATTACCACAGTAATAGTATTGTTTTGATGAGAACTGTAGACAGATGAACATGTACCCCGAAGTCTTCTTGAGTTTCAAATGCCGTAGTTTCAATTGACTAACAAATGCCGGCCATCATTAAAGGCGACATGAACGTTACTACTTTATTCCTTACCTTAATGTCTCTATTAACAGACTATATTATTACCAAGCTCATAGGTGTCGACTGCCCATGGATTTCTATCTCGATTATATAGTAAAATAATGCAGACATAAAAGCATCTATGACCGTTATTGGCAAAATGTTTATGATTTACTCCAACGAAAAAGTTTGATTCACTCAATAATTAAAAATTGGTTTTTAGACATTTAGATTATAATATAGGCCTGAAGTTTCAGAGTGATGTCCGATAGCCAATAGCTCTCGGTTTAGGCATCAAAAAAATGTGTGTGTGTCCGCTCCGACGCACGACTGGAGTTTACTGGATATAAATATAAATTTGTGTCAGTTGAATACAGTAAAATATGGAAGTTACGTATTCTAGTGAGAATGATCCGGGAGTTGCGGAACACGTGGATGCGGTAATTAAGTAAGTCTATATAATTCACTTTTACAATTAATATATAAGTTGTCCATTCACTGATAGAAGGAATTGTTTATATTTAATAAGCTTTATTAATAAATGATTTGTAGCGGGTTATATTCGGGTATCAACCCACTAACAGTTGATACGTTCAGGAATCGAACCCGAACGGCGTCCGGCCACAAGCAAAACGATGTCGGTAAATTAAACGAAACAATACGAGAAATAGTTCTATATTACGACAACACGATACACTACAGATTATTAACAAATTAACGAGACACAAAACAAACGACTAACAAATATATGAAAATACAATAATGAGAGAAACGCGCGATCAGTACGAGGCTTTGTGGCGGACTGCCGGCGCAGCAGCCCGGCGTCACCTGCGATAACGCGGCCGCGCGTTGGCTCCTGATTGGCCAATCAGGAGCCAATCAGGCGCATAACGCATTTCGTGTGACATGCTATACTCTCTAGTACGATTTTGGTCCCCATAATTTTCATACCCCGGGCCTATATATGTAAATCGATTCTTAAGGAGTAAACTCCAAAAAAATAACATAAAAATGTAATACTTTACTAGCATTCATGTCTTGTCAACAAAAAATTTGATACTGGACAAACAAAATCACGACATGGGCCTAAACTTCACCGGATTTTTTGGAGTTTACTCCTTAAGAATCGATTTACATATATAGGCCCGGGGTATGAAAATTATGGGGACCAAAATCGTACTAGAGAGTATAGCATGTCACACGAAATGCGTTATGCGCCTGATTGGCTCCTGATTGGCCAATCAGGAGCCAACGCGCGGCCGCGTTATCGCAGGTGACGCCGGGCTGCTGCGCCGGCAGTCCGCCACAAAGCCTCGTACTGATCGCGCGTTTCTCTCATTATTGTATTTTCATATATTTGTTAGTCGTTTGTTTTGTGTCTCGTTAATTTGTTAATAATCTGTAGTGTATCGTGTTGTCGTAATATAGAACTATTTCTCGTATTGTTTCGTTTAATTTACCGACATCGTTTTGCTTGTGGCCGGACGCCGTTCGGGTTCGATTCCTGAACGTATCAACTGTTAGTGGGTTGATACCCGAATATAACCCGCTACAAATCATTTATTAATAAAGCTTATTAAATATAAACAATTCCTTCTATCAGTGAATGGACAACTTATATATTAATTGTAAAAGTGAATTATATAGACTTACTTAATTACCGCATCCACGTGTTCCGCAACTCCCGGATCATTCTCACTAGAATACGTAACTTCCATATTTTACTGTATTCAACTGACACAAATTTATATTTATATCCAGTAAACTCCAGTCGTGCGTCGGAGCGGACACACACACATTTTTTTTTTACTCATAAATAATCCAATAATATTCACGTACGCTAATAGGTATGTGTGAAGGAAACATACGTTCTAAACTTTATATTAATCATGAAAATTCATGACGCAACCGATTACCGAACCTCAAAGTAAACTCACTAGCAGTTACGTCTTACATCGACACGCTCAATGAGGTAGCAGCTTGGCGTACCCCCAGAAACCGAACAAAAGTCCTTTATGAGCTTGTTTATCGGCGACCGCAAGAAATTTCCCGCAAAATGGTCGCTTTAGCCGATGCTTTCAAAGAGCTACTCGCAGGCTTTCGATACACGACAAAAAGATCGGATTTCGATTTAATGTAAAATTATTTATCGATGTCGGTGCCGGATCGATTTTCGCAACCCTCTTCGTTCAAGTTCTATCACGATACGTGGTGAATCGTTTATGAATTAAGGATTAAAAGAGCTTCGAAGTTGATGGTGTTCAGGGTTCTCAGATACTACACCAACCTTGGTAAGGACGCGCCTCTCAGCAGACTAGTTGGGGAATTAAATAATTTGCATAACAAGTATTCTCTGGACGTTTTTGCTGGCACTGTTGACAGTTTTAGACGAGAAGTCTACAGCATTGCTCAACGAGCTCTTTCAATTAAGTAATAGCATATTTGGTAGTGAATGTGTAATAATGTAACGTCTTCATGTAATGTTATATATAGTTGGGTTGTTTTGTTTTTTTTATACAACGAACCTCTTTTTTTTTCAATGCATGCAGTCGATACCTGTAATGTTCTGTGCTGATGTGTAACATGTTGGTACCCAATAAATAAAATTAAATTAAATTATATTTCACGTGTGTTTAATTTGTTTCAAATTCACGTTAAAGCTTTACTGAAAGGAAATTTATAAATTAATACACTAATACATTTCGATTTAATATTTATATTGTACTGAGTCAAGATCGAGGTTTGTGCCCATAATTTTTACTGGTGTTTTGCTCATACTCCAGATGGGTAAGTATCACCGTCTTCTCGATTTCTATCGCGAAGGAATCATTCGTCCCGCCGCTTCCGAGAACAGGATGCTTTGACCTCATGTCCAAAAGAGGATGGCACATTTAGGTCGTGATGTCTATTAGTTCCAACAATCAACAGGAGACAACAGGAGTGACCATCAATCAACTTATCCACCTGTTTCGAGACTTCAGTTGATTTATTTATTTATTTTTTATTGCTTAGGTGTGTGGACGAGCTCACAGCCCACCTTATGTTAAGTGGTTACTGGAGCCCATAGATATCTACAACGTAAATGCGCCGCACACCTTGAGATATAAGTACTAAGGTCTCAGTATAGTCACAGCGGCTGCCCCACCCTTCAAACCGAAACGCATTACTGCTTCACGGCAGAAATAGGCTGAAAATTATTAATCCTAAAACTGTTCATTTTTTGTTTTGAAAAACTTTACACTAACTCGGCTTGGGGGTTTAGAAATCAAACCAAACAATACATTATGTGACCTTTAATTCGATATTAACGAAGATCGATAACATTTTCCATTCGCCTAAAAATTAAAAAGGTTACTTACTGTTCTAACTCATTATTTACACTCGCACACTCACTTATATACGTTTAATTCCGCAATAAACAGTCCGATGAAATTATTATCTGTCACACTCTCATTTCGTCAATCGCAGCCTGCGGTAGGTTGGATGGTGCGCCCCGCCGTAATGTGGCGTGGGCCGCCCTCTCCTCCCTGCGAGGGGAGCCCTGCCCCGTCGAGCCGTTAGGCGGCTGGTATTTCTGCCTCAACTCTTGCAAAGGGGGCGAGTTATTAAACTGCCCCGAATTCTTAGGCATAGTCGCGTAGCTGCCTACCTGGGGATAACTGGGGTTTGGTATCCGAAAACTGTTTGTCCTGCTCCCCAGTTTACTTGGTAGCATCATGTTGTCCAAACTCAGAGACGGGCTCGGAGGTGATTTCGGTACATCCAGAGGCCCCTTGAAGTTCAAATTTGACAGGTGCTGTTCTGTACCCATCATGTGCTTCTTTCGGCTTTGTCTCTCGACGTCAACGACCAGACTGGGCGCGTGCGTCGGATCGATGTGATAATGAGAATGCTTTCCTGATATTGTCTCGAAGTGTTTCTCGTTAAAACGGTGCTGCTTACCGCGAGACCTTGACTTGTCTCTTTGGTAATAAACTCCAGCAAATATCAGAACGTTTAATATTAGTAAAGAACACCCAATGGCTATAGTAACGCTCAGCGCGGTTGAGTACGCTGCATATCCAGCAGCCTCTAAATGTCCTAGTGTATTATCCGTTGTGTTCGTAGTCTGCAGGTCTCTCCCTGGTAATATCGTGGCACAAGTGGCCAAAATACTATCCACCGTGGTCAGAGCTGTTTCAGCATAAGATCCGTTCCCTCTTCTAATCGGTTCATTGTCATTATTCCTCGCTAAAGGATCGGGTCTGACGATTCCTTCATACAGATCCTGCTCGTTGTGGTTTTTGAATAAGTTGTGCCTTGCTGCGACGTCTTCCATGCCGGCGCGGTGTAATTCAGGAACCAGTCGAAGCCACACAGAGAGCTGGTGTGCCCTGTAGTGGTTTTTCAGGCGAGGTTTCATACCTGTTAACAAAATCGATACTGAATTTTAATTCATTATCATGAAAAACACTGTTTTTTTTTATTGCTTAGATGTGTCGACGAACTCACAGCCCACCTGGTGTTAAGTGGTCACTGGAGCCCATAGACATCAACGTAAATGCGCCACCCACCCCTTGAGATATAAGTTTTAAAGTCTCAGTATAGTTACAACGGCTGCCCCACCCTTCAAGCCGTAACGCATTACTGCTTCACGGCAGAAAAAAGAAATTGTTTCTAAATTTCGTAATTACGAACTATGCCAATGAAATTATGTTTTTAATTCTTCGTCGATTATAAGTCGTGAATCCTCAGAAAGGTTTTTACTATTAAATATTTTAATTTTAATTGTCTAGGCTGATGAGCTGGTGATAGAGCATATTAGCAGTGTCACAAGGATATCGGACTGTCATTACTGTTTGAAAGGCACAATTTGCTTAGCCCAGACGGTTGGCTACCATCATTCTACTAATACCGGCAAAGAAAGATTTTTGCAGTCCAATCCGAAGGGTATGACGGCTATCTTTAAACTTCTAGCTTATGCCTCAAAGTGAGTCATTTTTCATCCGGTAACCACAATTTGAAGCTTACAGATAGCGTATGGTCCTCACGAGTAGAGAATCAGTAGCAATCCGATCTTAAAGATTTGTTATGGTGGATGACGGCTCCTAAAAATACTAATAAAATATCGGATTATGATTAAAATGAAAATTTTACCAACACAATTAATATTATTAATTTAGTGTATCGCACGGGCAAGGCTTTCATGATAACTCATATTAAAAGCGTAATTACTTTTTTCCAATATATTATACATGTAATTTACTACCAAATAAAATTTCTCGCACAGAACACGTACGTAATGTACGTTGTCAGTAAATTCAGAATTTTGCGACAAATTAAAGCCTTCGAGTGAACATTTGGGGAGGTCATGAAAATGAACAAACATTTTCTCTTGTGCTACGACGCTATTCTGTTACTATATTTTGGTCGGAGACGTATATAAGCAAACTCGATTATGTAACGAATTGTACATTATTTAATATAATGTTAGAATAATTAAAGAGGTCAGAACATTTCAAGGACAGAATGTAATTACGTGTAAGTTTACAAATCAAATAAAATGATTTACTATTTTTTTATTGCATATATAGGTGGACGAGCTCACAGCCCACCTGTTGTTAAGTAGTTTCTAGAGCCCATAGATATCTACAACGTAAATGCCACCACCCACCTTGAGATATAAGTTCTAAGGTCTCAGTATACAGTTACAACGGCTGCCCTATCCTACAAAAATAACGCATTACTACTTCACGGCAGAAATTAGCAAGGTGGTGGTACCTACCCGTGTGGAATCACAAGAGGTTCTACCATCAGAACTGTGCGATAATATATTGTTAGGTTTATTAAAGAGACCAGAACATTCCAAGGATAGAATATATGCATGGATTAAATAAAAAAGAGTACAAATGCTTTCATATAGACATCGGGGAGAATCTCATAGTTTGCTTTTTCCATGTTACAAGCCAACACTCTCTTTTTCAATATCTTATTTCAGTGATAATACCTATCACTCCTTTACTCCCTCCCTTTTCTCACTCCTTTACTGTGCACGCGGTCAGACTGTGAAATTCGTTGCCGGCTGACATCCGAGTTTGCAAGTCTGTTTCTGTTTTTAAATACAAGGTCAAACAATTCTATCTACAATCAACCGAATGATCATTGTTCTATACTCATCGTATATACTGTGTTACTTATAATATTTTGTATTCAAGTTTAACAATATTTGCTATGTGTATGTGCATGACTATAATTCTCATATTGTATTTGTTATTTTAGCTGTTCTACAAACACTCATCACTTTTCATTATTATTCTCATAATCCTCTAGCAGGTCTGCTGGAAAAGATTTCTTAAAGAAATAACCAGTGCCTTTGTCCATAATTTTCCTATTACTCTGTACAATGTCTTCCTTTTTGTGTGTACCTAAATAAATAAATCAGTTAGGTATGGGAACTACTTGATTATACTAATAAAATTTGATATTATTATCCTTTCGGTATTTAAAAATCTAGATATTTGTGTAAATGTTTATAATAATAAAAACGAATGAAGTAAAATAAACACCAAAAGAAGAAATACTACTGGAAATATACACCGAGGAGGGTTGGCGTCAGGCAGACGGTCGATCTTAAAACTCATGCCAAAACCATAATATGAAATAAATTAAGAAGGAAAAATGGTCACGGCTGGTCACGGATGGTCACGATTTAAGATCGAAAAGACTAAGCTTACAATTCGATAAAAATTACAAATGATGATCTTCTCTGTGCGTTGAGCTAATTCCTTATATTAATTTACTAGATTAAGACCCCAATAGAAACTAGTATAATAATTTATTGTGTTTACAATAGATAAAAATCTCACGAGCATTTGTCTAACTCCCGCTTATGATCCACTAAGAGTATTATTGTCTAATACATTTATCATTTTCGCTACGATATATTATTTCGTGGCCATCATAAAGGGCTCTTATAAGCCGGACGCATCCATTATCTGGTGTGAATGACCTGGATTATGAAACTTTAGATGCTCAACGGATTTGTTATTTAGGCTTTATTTGTGATATTTGCGTGATGGAATTTGAGGTGCGCATGGCCTATTAAACAAGAACTATGTGCTTACGAGATTTGATAACACCGATATAGTGATATCATTACGAAAGTAAATATATTTTTTACCTTGAGATATAAATTATAAGGTCTCAGTATAGTTACAACGGCTGCCCCGCCCTTCAAACCGAAACGCATTACTGCTTTAAATAGGCAGAGTGGTGGTACCTACCCGCGCGGACTCACAAGAGGTCCTACCACCAGTTAAATATGAGTATGTAGTATTTAAAATATACAATTACCAGAACTAAAATGACACTTTTACTTGACTGACCTATTTCCAAATATTTCTGGTGAGTTGAATCGTATTCCTCCCAATTAACCCCCCGGAACTTATTTCGCTCTCTCGATGCCGGCAATAACGCTTCCTGCCGCGTGTTGTCGTTAGGATCGCTGTAACAAACAGATAAATTACCAACTTATTTATTGAGGGACGTTACACGAATATGTCCTTTTTCCGAGTACAATTAAGACATAATTTTGTATGAAGCCGTCAAAGTATCTAGGTGGATGCCACTAGTATTGCTTCGCACAACGAAGCCTAAGCTTCTTCTGTTGCTAAATTTCGTTCGGATAATGTTGTCGCTTTTGTTCAACTTTTAACATGGTCGCGGTAAACAGGTGCTCGCACGAGTTTAAACAGAGTACAGGCGGATATTTCTATAGGGGGATAGTGAGGGGTAGTGGGTGGTGGAGGGGCGTTTGAACCCTTTTTATTATAGCGACAAAAATTCATGATCGATACCTTAAAATATCACCATGTACATAATTTATTTACAAATTTTAAATATTTCTATACTAATATATAAATCTACAGTGGTTTTTACGGATGTTCCGTTTTAACTACTGAACCATGCATCCGATTGACTTGAAACTTGGTATCCATGTAGAAAATACATGTACTTAATGGATAGGCTAATATTTATATAAGTGTTAGACTCCCTAATAATAATGACAATAAATAGTAATGTAGACTAGTAGTTTATATATTTTAACTGACGATCTATTTTATGGTTCACCCAGTACAGTCGTTATAACAGCGACCTTGAAACAAACCGTTGATGTCTCATGAATAGCAATATGTAATTATTTCAGATAATTTATTGGTGACCTTTATCGGGGCATGCTTGTATATATTTATGCATATTTTGCTCTGACCTTATCTCTATTCGAAAATCTCTATCTTGGAATTAAGTGGTTTTATTGCTTAGATGTGTGGACGAGCTCACAGCCCACCTGGTGTTAAGTGGTTACTGGAGCCCATAGATATCTACAATGTAAATGCGCCACACACCTTGAGATATAGTTCTAAGGTCTCAGTATTGTCACAACAGCTGCCCCAAATCGAAACGCATTACTGCTTCACGGCAGAAATAGGCGGGGCGGTGGTACCTACCCTTGCGGACTCACAAGAGGTCCTACCACCAGTAAAATTGTATGAAATTATAAGTTTGTTAAAAACACAATTTAAACAAAACTCTATTATGAGTCTATTGTCAAAGACTTCTACTTCAAAGAATTCTACTTCTTCACAGACTTCGCTAATACTACACTTTAGACAAATATTAACAAAGATGAACAATATATTTCAATTTATTCTCAATTTGACCACAGACTATTAGCAATAAGAAAGGTTTGACAATAAACAATTAGTATGCATGCGTGTGTGTGTCAGATATATGTGGTAGCGTATGTAATGTTTTTTTTATTATTTAAAGTATTTTTTTATGCATAATTAAAAAAAAATATTAACATTCTGCACTCCTTCTCTATATCTTATCTTATATCTTTAAACGACCAATTCTTATATATATATATATATATATAATTATCTCGGAAACGGCTTCAACGATTTTCATAAAATTTAGTATACGGGGGATTTCGGGGGCGATAAATCGATCTAGCTACGATTTATTTTCAGAAAATGTTGTTTTATTCGTGTTTTCAATAATCAACTCTTTCCGACATTTATTGGTGAATAATAATACTATTTTTCTTAATTGTGGGCAACTAACCGCTTTAAAGACACACCAAGATGGCGTTATCTAAAAAAAAACCGGTCATCATCTAGTTCTCTATAAGTGTGGTAAATTTCATACTCCTCCGTTCGCGCAAATTTCGTAAAAAGGGTACAAAGTTTTTGCTTCGCGTATTAATAATATATAGATTTTCATTCGTTCTTACCCGGTCTTCGCAAAGTTGGCGAGGAACATCATTATAGACTCTGACAAAGCCAGTTCAGACTTCGTATAGTTTTGCGGGAAATGACCAAATCCATCAACAGCGGGCGCCCCGAACACATACGGAAGCTCTTCCCCGTGAACTGCGCCTAGCCTCTGTAAAATAAACTAGTTTGACTCGTAGTTACAGTAAAGTTAGTGAGAAAAAAACGTGTGGCACTCGGAAACTGCCGCGGTAAAGCTATTGCATAGCATTTTTTATCAACTTATGCAATTATAATTAGACAATGATAATTTTATATTTAAACAATAATAAAACAAGACCACGCTATATTAAACATTAATAAAATCAAAACCTTAACTGTCCCCTTCACACTCATAAGCTAGACCGCGCGAGAGAGATATGGGCAGACTTTTCATGATGCGCATGCAGTGTGACGTCACGCCACGCGCTTATTCACAAACACTACACAAGCGCAACGTGTGAATGTGTTGGACGCGAGCTACATGGTAGGCGGAGTGAGGAGTGTAAGGTTTTTTTCGTTACGGAATTTCATGATTCGGTCGCCGCGATCAAGGCCCGCGATAAAAGCTATGCAACAGCTTAAAAACTAAACCATTCTGTATGTGTCCATTTCAATCATATAAGATAATGATCACGAGTATAAAGTTCTGATCTTAATATACATTTTTGTGTTGAAAAATATCAAAGTAAATCCCTACGACATCTCAGAGGGCGCAGTTTCATTAGCTCATCATACTAGTACCAAGATCGATTTTTACCTTTTTTATGCAAGCAAATAAACCGAATGCACCGGTATTTACGGGGACGTAGTTAAAATTTTGAGTTAAAAAAATTCTTAAGGAAAACTAGCATCACTCTTTTACAGTGAAATTTTGCAAAAGGAAAACCACCATCACTCATTCATGTTGGTATTGGCAGAGGCACAACTTTAATTTAATAGATTAAAGGACATTTAGATTTAGAGAACCACTAGCATTTATAGTTCCTGATATTGACAGGGCCACAATCTAAATTTATAGGACATTTGGAAATGTTTAGTCACTCGAAAACCAGCATCACTCATAGACTGTATTGCCAGGGGCACCATTTGAACTTAGAATACAATTTATAGCCGTGCAAATTCTGGGAAACGACGTATTTCAATTAATAATTCAGACCCCATTAATGAAGACAATTCACACAACGCTAATTAGTAATAATTCTAAGTGCTGTTGCTCTCAAGAGATAATGGACCTTATACAGACGTTGTAACAGAGGTTGTTGTGCCTTATTACAGAGTCTCCTACACATCCTTTTAATTTATGCAAAACTGATCTTGTACTCAATTATTCAGGAATGTGTCGGATTTTGTATTATAAAAAAAATAGTTTTGGATATACCTATAGTTATTGGACTGGCTCAAAGTCCAATTTGGGTTTGGTAGCTTCATATAGCACAATTTTTAGCTTGAAGAATTATCTCGAATTGGTTAGCTACAGTCTTTTTGTTATTATGATAAAATACACTCGTCTTATTGTCATTCTAAATACTCCCTTAGATTCCTGTCTCGAGATATTTTGCTATCGATACTTTAACTAACCTGAGGATAATATCCGTCTTTGGTTTGGTAATCGAAAACATAGAAGTAAGTCTTGGTCGGCCGTCCTGGTCCTTCGTCATCATTAGGCGCTGGCTTGGGTCCACCGCTGAGCAAATCACCACTTTGCACTATCGGGGCTACATATTGAGCATCGGAGAGTGCTGCTACAGTTGCATCTCTTGTGTTTGTTGGACTCTGCAAAGACTTTTTGAATTATTTTAAAGACCTAAATGTATACAGAAGGTATCTTCTAAAGTTAATAAGTTTCATCCAGAAAAATTCCACGCACTTATTAACCATAAACTACAATCAACGAATACTTTAGATTGTTCTTCTGAAAGTGATTTATTTAAATTTTTAAGAGCAGCAATTAGCAGTTCTTTGTCCCATAATTAAAACTTTATAACCGGGAAATAGGAGCTGCGAACAAATCACGCACGATCACCCGGCCCCAATTTAAGATTCCCTGTGTTATTGTTATCACATGCTGACGCACATACTTTTATTCGTTTAAATAATATACCTAGTCAGGTCATAAGTATTGTCACACAGTAAAAACTTTTCTTTTAGAATGCTGGCCACAAAAAAGTTTAATGAATTCGAATTTCGAATTGTTCATGAAAATAAAAATGTATACTTTTAGAATTTTACTCATTTTTAAATATGGAGTGGACGCTTAAAGAAGACCGTGTTGCACAGTTATTGCGTTGCATCGTTGCGGGTACGCGCCGATTCAAATTTTTAACATACTGAAAAAGGGGATTGCCCACTCTCCATAGTGTGCTAGGCCCAAGATGGACATCAAATATTACTATAAAAATGTACTGATTCAAATTCTTAAATGTATTGGATATCTAAAAAATATATTGAAATTGACGCCACTATTATAAAAAATATAATAAAAATAAAAACTCGTTTTGAGGTTAATTTTCTATATAAATAAGTGTCGGNCAGCCGCCGATATTGACATGGACCTCGTTCGTGCTGCGATAGACGACTGGCCGCGCAGATTGAAGGCCTGTATTCAAAATCACGGAGGTCATTTTGAATAAACTTTAGTGTCATAAGAATCTATGTTTTGTTAAGTTCATTTTGGTATATGAATGGTTACATAATGAATAAACTTGTTTCAATTATTTTACATTAAACATGTGACAGGATTTATGACCTGACTAGGTATAATACAAACATAGAAAATAAACATCCAGACAAAGAGCAAAGAAACCTCGTCATAATGTTTGCTCGATGTGGGAATCGAACCCACGACCCTCGGCGCAACAGTTAAGGCCGCCAACTACTGCACCAATAAGTCAGTCAGAATATCAATATCAGATATATCAAAGTGTGTTTCCATAGTCAACTAGCTGCATAATCAATTGTATTTCTCGATATTTAAAGATACGCTCACACAACTAAGCAACATTTCAGTAAAATTTATAGATAAAAGTCTATCGTACCTAATATACAATCGTGTTAATGCAGTGTTGTTTCGATATCCTGAAAATTCCAAGTCCCAAAGAAAAATGCAACAATACCACACACGAATCGCTGCATTAAATTTAAATTTAACTTTAAGCTAGCTTTGCGATTTTTAACGTTATAAATTTCTAAAGAACATTTCTAGGAATCATTGAGTTCAATGTAGGTAATATGTATGTAACTGGTATTAAGGTCTCAAAATAATACGCCATCTTTTACACAAATATTTTAGTTAAAGCGTTATATTAGATTTTGTTTTAGGTTAAGAATAAATTAGCACCGGGACTGATGGGCGGGCTACGACGAAGCATGTTGGGCGCAAGGCGTCACGCTTCACTTGGATAGCATATTTTCTCCTCCGCTTCGGCATTATGAGCCAAGACCATGAATAGAGGGAAAAAGTTAGGCTAAAGATCTATCCTGACCGCCAACTCGACGTTAATAGGTTATTTTTTACTCTTTCACGACCTCCTTCTGTAAGATGGTGCATGATACCGCTTCTTCCGTATGGATAAAATAAGAGTATGTGCTCAGCCAAATTTAAGACGCATCCAAAGTAATGGCAGTCCGCCTTTGACTCAATTGCAGTCTAAGCTACTTTTAAAGTAATTGAGCTCAGTTAGCTGATGGTGAGGAGTGCATGTTCACGATCCACCCAATTTCCGAAGACCACGAGAACTATTTCGATAGTACACAAGCTGGCTGAAGGACCGGTCATGTCACGTCATTCCCTCTTTATTATTTAAGCTCTTGACCCAGATTTTTATACTTCCGAAGCAAATTATATTAAGTTTTAAGTCCATTAAATTAGAGTTTGCATTACGACCAAAAAGAAAACGAAAGGGAATTTTTGCCTCATTTAATTTTACGAGATCTGAATAATATTTGAAGAAGTAATCCCCAAATCAAATTGAAGAGATTGGAGCGCCTACTGGTTGGATTTGGCTTCGATTCGGTTCGAAATGAAATTAAATTGTTCCTTAATATGAGAGAAAAGGATTTACATACTATTTTGGTCGAGACTTTACAGACGCCATATTATTATTATATGCCACGTAGGAATTTTGTTTTTTTTACGTGTGGCGGGTAGCCATCATACAACGCAAGATATTTGACAGATCCCTGAATCTCGCTTACTACATTTTCTGGATAAGCTTGCATATTATATACAAGTTCCGAATAACAACATTTGGACCGTCGGTCTACCGAGCAATGTCATCCGCTAGGTGGAAGATCTTTCCTTCCGCCGTTATATCTACATTACGTAATTATAAAATTTGACCTAACCTTTTTTGATAAAAGTTTACGATCCTACTGATATCATAAACGTGAAAGTTTGTAAGAATGTATGGATGTATGCTTATTACGCTTTCACGAAAAAACTACTGTATGGATTTTGATGAAACTGTACAATAATATGGCTTACACATCAGGATAATACATTGGCTTATAATTTATAAAGATATAGAGTGATTTACTCAAAATATAACGTCAAGTATTCAATGAGAAGCAAAAAATCTGCCACCTGCGAGCTATTTCGGCATGCACTACAAAAACCATTGGAGTTACACGTATGTAGTGTACAATCGAAATGTTTATCTTCAATAGTCATACAAAAAAGCCCGTACCAGCATATATCTATCTTTTATTTGTAAACTATTATCGTCCAAAATAGTGAACCATGAATATAAGAAGAGGAAAGATTAGATTTTTTGTTACATTATTTTTTACTATGTTTGTTACTATTCTATTACTATTCAGATCAATAATAAAGGACTGTTCCCGAAGTGAAGCGAGCCTCCAGTAAAGTCATAAAAATTGCTTAAATCCACTTTATCATCATTCTCCTGCCCTTTTCCCAGTCACCTGGGGTCAGCGCAACATGTTTTCTTCTTCCATTCTCCTCTATCATATACCGTTTCTTCGCTTACTCTCCTCTTACACATATCGTTTTTCACGCAATCCATCCATTTTTTTGGGTCCACCTCTTCCTCTAAAGCCTACACACTATGCTCTTAATTAAAACTCTCTTAACAACCTCATTGTCATTTCGTCTCATCACTCATTCATACCATACCTAGAGCCTAAATCCAGCTATGAACAAATAATGATGTATTATGATGATAATAAAATTGTATACTATGAAATTAATAAATACATGAACTGACTTGCCCCAACACAAATGTGTTTGAAGATTTTTGATATGAATTAGGTTTGTGAAGATTTATTATTTATTATTACGATGACAAGCTGTTTGATCAAAGCCGTTACCTTTTTCATAATATGTATAAATTGTTCTTCAACAACCGTTACATAGTTAAATACGTACAGCTTTTGAAATACCTACGTCAAATAACAACAAACCTCTACCGTTCGTTCCCAATCGGTGTATTCATTTACGATGGTGTAGAAAATCTCGCTTAAATGGTATGTATACGAATTCCTGACGTACGTTCTGCAACATAAGACACTGTTTTAATAAACGCATTAAATTTTACATATTCAATTATTTAGCTGGTATCTGCATGCGTTAGTACCGCTATTATCAGCAGCAGGGGCCATAATTTTAAAGGTCTATTGTATTATGGCTACGGTTATTACATCCGTGGAAGCAGTAATAGTTTATTAACCATCTACCATATTTTTCAGCGAAGTATTAACCTACCTCAACATGCGATCTCTTTTATCAGGCTCTATCCCGTTTTGAACATCACCAGCCGAGAATTTCCATAGCGCCTCACTGGTCACGACCCCAAATAGCAAATCGTATTTGTTCTGGAACAACCTTCGACCGCTGTCGCTCCTTTTTTTGTGAATGTTAAAGTTAAAATTCATATTGTTGAGAGGACCAAAACTCGGAAAATCTCCTGTCGAGTACATGGTCAAGAAGTCTTTGCCGAAATCCGTTTTTATGACCACTCCGTCCACTGAAGGCCCGAAGGCTGTTAAATAATTCGGTGGTGATATATCTGCTGCCAACAAGTCTCTTATGCTGGCTTCTCGTAAACAATCCACGATTACTTCATGATCTTTCGATAAGTCTTCTGGAACGGTGCAGTTTATATGCTTGGCTAGCTTAAGAGAATAATAGACAGGGTCGTCGACTATAGCCCACGAGCTGAGCGCGGAGCCTGATAAGAGTATCGCTCTGTGAAAAAGACCTGAGGACGAGAAGAAGCTAATTACAGCATTTGGTTTTTCTATATATTGCCTAGGTGGTGCTTAGATGGAAGAGCTCACAGCCCACCTGGTGTTAAATAGTTACCGGAGCCCATAGACATTTATAACGTAAGTGCCGTCACCTACCTTGAGATATGAGTTCTAAGGTCTCAATATAATTAAAACGGCTGCCTCACTCTTCAGACCGAAACGCATTACTGTTTCAGCGCAGAAATGGGCAGGGTGGTGGTACCTACTCGTGCGGATTCACAAGAGGTCCTAACACCTAGATTCCTGGGACAATACGATTCAAGATTACAATTGTTGAGATAAAGGTCTGAATGCATTAGTATTAAGAGCTTGATGATAGCAAGCTGTTTTGGGTTCCCATTAAACAGGTGAAGAAAGAGTAGTAGTACCAACTTATCATGAAATACCATTTCTATACCCCATATGGGGTGGAGACCCAGGATGAGCTGGAGGCATTGAGCACATTGTATCTACATCCGTTTTATAAATAATGCTGATGAACAATGAAAAGGGACAAACCAGCAGCTAAATATGATAGAAAATCATAAAATGTTATAGAATTTTTTCATACAACATTCTTACTTTTTTTCTTAGCAGACGATTTCATATATTTTTTTAAATGTTTAAACTACCTTACAATAAATTGAACATTACATTTCCTTTGTCGTATCGCTCTTGTTAGAGCGGTCGTAGCCGTCATTCAGTATCATTGCTGTGGGCAGATGTTATAATATGCCTCACGAGCAATCACCACTCCTCCCGGTTTGTGGAGTAACATTACATTACATAAATAAAATACTTGCATGTTTTTTTTTTAATTTCCTATTTGTAGTTATAGTGATAAAAATAAGAAATATGTATAAGCACGTGGCACGATAAAGCTCGCAATTTATTATCTTTATTTTTGGCAAGATGAAAAATATAACGAACCTGGCATCACAGTAGGTGATATCATGAGGAAATTGATACAAGCCGCTCCCGATCCGTGACCCATGAGCGTGATATTGTTTGGATCTCCTCCAAACAGTGCAATATTCTGTTGGACCCAGTGTAGAGCTGCGATTTGATCCATAAGGCCGTAGTTCGCCACTCGAGCTTTGAGGTGAGGTACAGGATTAGCGTTGAGGAAGCCTGCGTAATGAAATTCATAGCGAATCTTAGGACTAATTTATTAGAACTAATTAATCAGAACATAATTATTCGTAAAGCCATATGGTAGTCTAAAAGAAAGGTTCTACATAAAAATAAATTTTTCATATTATTATGTTATATAGTCGTACCTAACTCTAATTGGGTAGTGAATTCATCTGTATAACTTATTGTGTTGCCTAGGGGAGTGAACAAACTCACGACCTATCTAGTGTTAAGTGGTTATTAGAGCCTATGGACATCACAACGTGAATGATACCATCCGTTTTAAGAATCTACGTCTCAATTGTGGAGTAATTACAAAAATAATTTTTTTTTGGATTTTTGCGCATGTGGGATCGATTTCACGACAAGGTGTTTTTGTTTCAGTTACTTCATGATTCAGAAACGATTATATTGTGCCTACTGGCAGCCATAACGTAGAGCATCTTGAAGCCATTCAACGTTTATTACCAGACCTATTTCTGAAGATCTGGTGAGTTCATAATTTAAAACAAAACAATTTTCATAGGCTTTCATATTCTAAGTCAATAAATATTATATTATATTTTTATTCTTGATGATATCGGCATAATTGGCAAGATGCATATTAGTAAATATTAGAGTTTATTAAATCGTGATGTTCTTTTCATACTAGTTATCCTAATAAACGTTTTTGTGAACATATCTAAAAGAATCGATAGTAAAAGTCAAAAGCATTCACAATATTCTCATCAAATTTAAACTTAAAAGCAAAACTTATACCAAGGCGTCCACTTCGTTAACCCTCGTATGATTTTTATGATATTTTCAAACTAAAACAACAAGCTAGATATTCTAATACGAGACACAGATAAAGTCGACATCAAATTTTGTTTTCTGAAGTTTTACAACTAATAACTACTAAATGATACTATATAAATGATAAACTACTAAATGAAATACGTACTTAACAATTGTTCACGATTGACTTCCACGGTGAAGGAATAACATCGTGTAATAAAAATAAAACCCGCAAAATTATCATTTGCGTAATTACTGGTGGTAGGACCTCTTGTGAGTCCGCACGGGTAGGTACCACCGCCTCGCCTATTTCTGCCGTGAAGCAGTAATGCGTTTCGGTTTGAAGGGTGGGGCAGCCGTTGTAACTATACTGAGACCTTAGAACTTATATCTCAAGGTGTGTGGCGCATTTACGTTGTAGACGTCTATGCGTTCCAGTAACCACTTAACACCAGGTGGGCTGTGAGTTCGTCCACACATCTAGGCAATAAAAAATAAAATAAAAATATTGTATTTAACCATCGTCCTCCAATCCAAATCGAAACGTATAACTGTTTCAGGATAGAAATACTCAAAATGGTGGTAAAATACCCATGCGGGATTGCAATACGTGAGTCACTAGTGGACCGACTAGCATCTGCACTTTCATAGAAAGTTTTCTCAGACTAGAGTAGGTACTGTACAAACAAATAAATTAATTTTTCATTTAAATTCTCTTTTCAGAATGCACCTTTCGCGTGAATCGAACCGTAAAGGAATGAAAGAAGAGCAAAGCCAGCGCAAGCTTGTGTTTGAAGCTTCAATAGCGCTGTAGACACGATCTTACTACATTTTTGTGAGAGAAAATTAAATAGTTTGAATATTCGATTGGAAAATACCTTATTTAGTGGAATGTGAATAATTTCAACGTTAAGTAGAAGTATTAACGATTTCAAGACATTTAAAAAAAAAACATTACAGTGATTTTAAAGTGTATTTTTTATTTTTTTATTACCCATTCACCGTTATTCATTTACAATTTTAATGTTTTTTGGGAGTAAATTTTCGACTCAAGGGATTCAATTATTTTTATTTTAGTTTCATTTAACTTTTCAAAGGCAATGAGTGTCGATATTTTTAATTCCTTCGTACGTTACGAGTGTGAGGAAAATTAAATAAAGTCTTCTAACACCAATATTTGGATCGGTCACGAATGTGCTATTTTTAAAAATAATAATAATAGGTAATTTTAGTGGGTAATTTTTTAATGGTCTGACGAAACATCTTTGTAGGACTATGTCGGCTTTGAAACCCCTCAAAAAGGCATTAATGTCTAAGGAAATACATACATAACACATGTTCACAAATAAACATCACGATGAAGGACTAAAATTGTGTAGTATAAACCTTAATTAAGCTTTATTTTTTAAGTTGGATAATTACTGATACCAGTGTCTTTTCTGCTCCTGTCTCCAAGTCTATCACATTTCAAGGAATTTTAACTTTTTACTTCGTGATATCTTTGGACTTTGGTAATAGCTTAGCTATATATTATTATTTGGTAATAATATATTATACTCGTATGTCCATCAAATTTGATACCAAACGTTCACAGACCCCATTGTTCGAAAACAATATTCCATAAAAACTACGGAACTGCAGACCAAGCAAGATGCTTTATGATATTTCGCTAACACTCTTGTAAATTATATTAACGGCAGAAGCTGTTTAGTTGCTTCTTGCCCTATATCCGCAGTAGCTTGCCACTCAAGTTTTGCCCTAAACTCGATTATATTAGAGATGTTTGAAACTAGAGCACGAAGGATGTTGACCTCTCAGCCACGGTGAAATAGGACTTGACTTCGTTTGTCTCATCTGATTATACAAATAAGGTCGAAATTTGAATATTTTTGATACTTAATTTTAATTCCGCTTATAAATAGATAAAAACGTATTATAGAATGTGTTATTATTCAGATATCGTGAAACTATTATACTTTATGATATTATGCTTTATGATTTATTCATCATAATTTGTAATTAAAACTACTTTTAAAGTTCAATTGTACTATTTACTATTTTTTTACCATTGGTACTAATTTCATTTTGTGATTTCTGACTTTTTGGATATTTTACGTTTTTCATGGTTTTCTCGGTCACAAACGATTAGGTCGCTTTTTTTATCAACATTTGAATATTGCGCTAAAGACTATTTAATTTTCATTAGAAAAGTTTTTACTTTTACATTTCTTGAATTTTAATCTTACATTTCTTGAATTTGATCGGAGAAAGAACTAGTAGTTTTTTAAATTCTTGTTTGACTTGCGTTTTCATCTTTACGACACGAACTTCTCTATCGAACTTAGGGGGGCACGCTATTGGAATAAAAAACATCTCCCTAATGGCTTCTGGCAGTAAGCACTGTTTGATTACTAGAGTCTAAAGACCCTATAAAATTAACGTCTTCATACTTCTATTTCTGGATAATCCTTTTGGTTGCGCTGGTTTAAAACTTAGTTAGTTTTAGGTTTCGAAAAATAGCAACATTTTAATTTGGTTTTGCAAATCCTGTCCCATCCCTCTCCGGCACTTTACCTACGGACGCGTGCGAGCGAGATCGTGTGGTGACATCGAGACGAAAAAATATGGCTGAACAACCGCGCGCGCGCTTCGTGTCTTTGTTATGTTAAATACGTAAATAAGTGAAATCGTTGGTGTTTCTCATCGCGAAGTGGTACGAGTCTGCAGTAAGGACTACATAAAGGTATTGTGCATCCTTCCTTTAACGCAGAACTGCCGCTTCTTATCGTTTCTTCCCGCAGTCTGTGTCCTTCATTTGCAACGACCAAATTTAAAATATTTTCATAGTTTGCTTATCTCGCGTATACACCTTTTATTATTGGGGATCGTAAAAACTTTAAAAGGGTTAACTGACTCTCTCTTTCCATCGATTACCGCCACTTATTTTTTATTTATTGCTTAGATGGGTGCACGACCTCACGTCCCATCTGGTGTTGAGTCTACAACGTAAATGCCACCACCCACCTTGAGACATGAGCTCTAAGGTCTCACTTGTAACAGTACAACGGATGTCCGCCCTCAAACCGAAACGCATTACTGCTTCCCTGCCACTTTAGAGAGAGCTGTCTGCCTAATAGTTACCATACTTAATCTAGCCATCTCTTGGGGATTCGTACCTTTGACCCTTTAACCTCAATGTGCCATTAACCCCGCTCAAAAGTAATCGGGGCTTCTACGTTCCATATGACAGAGCTTTAATACAAGTTGCAATTACTGTTTTACACTTTAAGCAGTAAAACATAATTATTTTGTTAACATACATATGGAGAATGGTGGAACATGTATCTGCAAGCTAATTAATGCCTTGCTACCAATGCAAACATTTTGATTAAATTTTACGATCACGTTTTGATGGGTTCGACAAAGTTGTGTGCATGTAAAACTACTTACCTAAGACCCCTAATCGGAAATTAAGTGTCACCACGATGAGGTCAGTGTAGCTGGCCAGGACAGCCCCGTCGTAAGGATGACTCGAGCTCCAAGAATAACTTTCTCCGTGAATATACACTAGTACAGGCAATTCTAGTTTAGTTTCGTCCACTGCAAGAGAATTTGAACTTCAGGATTGTGGATTCAATATATTCAATACTAGCTGACCCGGCAGACTTTGTGGTATCTCAATCGATAAATAAAATACCTAAACTTTTGTATAAAATAAACTTATGAACTTAAAACAAACAAAAGGAATCCGTCCGACGGGGGGACATCAAAGGAAAAACAAATTTGTTATTTTTAGTTAATTCCAAGCATTTTCTTATTAAACTACCTTTCAAACCTTCTCTGGACTTCCACAAATAATTCAAGACCAAAATTAGCCAGCCGTTCTCGAGTTTTAGCAAGACTAACGAACAGCAATTCATTTTTATATATACAGATTAACACTAAGAACTTCTACGTTGGACTGCCAATGGTGTGCTCGGCTGCTTTTCATCAGCCACCTAATGGTGAAACTTTACCATTGTTTCTTAATTGCAGGAGCAAAGTAAATACGCAATCTACTATTAAGGACTACCCTCAAAAATCAAAGAAAAATGTCTTATTATGGTTCTGTTGAAGTAGCCAAGAGAACAGTTTGACTTTTGAGTTTGAGGCTACATGGCAAAATTTGTTTCGGCGAACCCACAATGAACTTTGGATGAGCGAAGCGTGCATAGTACGTGAGTGCTTTCTAGCGATATAGTCGATTTAGCTGAGTTGGACAAACACGCCCGTGTCCTAAGCAGTATTAAACAAATACTAGAGTCTATAAGCAACACAAGGTTCACATAAATGCAACCAAAAAAAATTAAATTAAGTTGATATTCACAGAGCATCGCGGTATCCTAAATTCAGCCTTCAAAAAAACATTAAAATAGATGGAACTTATATAGAGATTCTACTGTTTCGGCAAGCTCGAAGAAAATTGATTTAAGTGTAGGACAAATTTCACAAAGAAATTTCACGTAGCTTTTCTTCTCGTTGAAATAAATTTTCCGTCTCCTCAAATAAAACGAGAAACACGAATTATTCGACGAACGAATGAAATTTGGTATTGCAAGAAACAGAACGTACAAATTTATTTTTAAATAACTGAATTTACTCATCCTGGAGATTTTTTTAGTATAGGAGAGTATTAAAATTAGAGTAGAATAATTTACCTTTATCTTAATAATTATTAACAAAATGTAAACGAAAAATTATTCGTGCAAGACATCGAATTGCTACAAGTCGTTAGAAAAGTCTACTTATGACAACCATGGTGTTTCCCGTGCACTGTGACTTGTCCTTCTTCAAACGAGGCTTGTGGAGAGTACTCAACGGTAGGTAGCGGCTTGGCTCTGCTCCTGGCATTGCTGAAGTCCATGGACGACGGTGACCACTCACCATCAGGCGGGCCGGGCCGTATGCTCGTCTGCCTACAAGGGCAACAAAAAAAAACCAAAATTGTCTATGACATACTCGTACTAGCGTTAATTCATCATTTTTGTGTGAATTGAATATTTTGTTCTGCGTCGTTTTTAGCGGTACTATTGAAGGCTACTTATTTATTTTCATCACCAAAGGACATTCCTAAGAGCTTTGCTGCCGAATGCCTATTTGATTGAAGATCTTGAACAAAATTAAAATCACTTTCAATTTTTTCCCATAAAAAAACTTACTTTGTAGAGGAGCAAAAATGTTTAAATATAAGCAATCCTCGCTTTGATTCTTAAGATAAGGCATCAGTCTTTTCAAATATTCTAATCTGCCTTTAGGCATCTTCTCTAAAATCGTCCTTTCATCTTCAATATCTGGTAGCGTCTGGGGACAGGCTGGACCTGGCCTATCTGATACCCTGACGCCGTCCCAAGGTGATGGAGTTCTTGTTGGACTGAATCTAAATCAATAAAATACAGATATTAAGTAAAAATTAATAGAAGATTAAGTAAATTACTGATTTCTTATTTAATTCTTATATTGGAACTCTAAAACAGTAAATTTTGACGTTTTATGGTGGAATAATATGAATTTTTATTCATAAATGGTAGATTTGTATCACAGATTCATGAAAAAGGGAATGAAATTTTTGAGAGGCACGTGATTTACTTAAAATAAAAAATATTATAACTTACTTAATATAAAAAAAAAATGAATCGATACAGTTACTTGTTAAATCTTAGCTTAATTCTTATTATATCTCACCTGTTAGATCCAACGGGTGGAGTAGCGTACGGTACACCTAAGAACACTTCAAGAGGACTCAAATATCTATGTTCGTCCATAGCCAATACTATGCCCTGTAATTTCCCATATTTAGTTTGTACTATCCTACTGCTTATTTTAAATTTCACTTTAGATTTAGGAATGGGATTCGACGGGTTTAAGTAGTACTTTTTATAGTCATCGTAATTACTATATGCACTGCTATCGCTATTGTAGAATTTTTGTAGGAAATCTTCACTATTGAAAAATGGATTGTGATCGAAATTGACTTTGGCATAATCTATGGGGTCGTGTTCTCGATCATGATCGTCATAGTTTTCATCGCTTGGTTGATCTTTTTGCATTTTCGTTATAATGTTTTTGATAACATTCGTATGGTGTCGGTTCATATTTGTCGTGTTAGAATTAACCGTTTTTAGGGATAAAAAAGTTATGACTATTATACAATAGAAATTTATATGTATTGTTTTCTGTGAAGGATTTTTTGTTTTGTGTCCATTTAGAATTATTTGTCGTTCATGACAGTTCATACTAGTGCTATGCTCTTCGATTTTGTTCTCATCGAATTTTTTTTGGAACATATTTCATCATGTTATCATTTTTGTTTTGCAGTTAGTTTTTAGGTGATACTCCTTATCCGCATTCGATGAATTGAACCTGTAACAAACGAAGCAACACTTTAATGGTTATTATTGCAAAGATAACAATATTTTTGATTATCATGCAGTTAGTTCTGCTTTACACATAAATTGAAGTTTATACCAAATTTACCGATAAACCACTTACTTAATATCTATACTAATATTATAAAGAGGAAGGATTTGTTTGTTTGTTTGTATTGAATAGGCTCCGAAACTACTGAACCGATTTGAAAAATTCTTTCACTGTTTCGAAGCTACACTATTCCCGAGTGACATATGCACTCTTTTGAAAAAAATTAGGGATCTTTACTAATACTCCAATAATGTAATCCAAGGTGTAAAAAAATTACCTAAAATATTCTTTACATCACGTGCCCTGCGAAAACGATTGATGACAGAATAAAATAATGTACTACGACTTTGTAGAACACATTATTATTTACAAAAAGTGTATCGACAGCATATGTCTAACTATTATAATTATGCCGCATTAAGTGTTCTTTTATTTAAAAAAATAAAACAACGTCAAATATCGTTGAAATTTTTGTTCAAGACCCGAGCGGAGCCGGAGCGGGCCGCTAGTTTTCATCATAAACTAATATATATGTTATATTTAAATTTATTATAAACTTATATTTTAATAATATATGAAGCTGGTATATGGGAAGGGGTTCTTCCTTCTCCTCGCAATACCTGCAGACGTTATTAGCTACAAGACCTAGCTTGCAAATGTAATGTCACAACTTATTATGTCCAATGAGAGCTCTCACAAGAACCCTTTGGTGGGAACCTTGGATCGCTCGTTATATTATTATATTCCAGCTCCTACTTGAGTCTATTTCATTATCATCCCATTTGGTTGGTTACTTCATTTCAACATTCTAAAACTTCTTCTAGTTGTATTTGCGTTGATCTAGTCTGAAGGCAAATTCAACTCATAAGATATTTGTGAAACACGTTAGTCTATTCATACTTCTGACCTCATGCAACACCTCCAATTTAGCGTCCTTTGGCATATAAATGAGAAGGAGTTCTGGATTAAGGAGGGCTTCGATGGTAAAGGTGTAGCGGGCATATCGTATGCCGCAACCATACGACCAAATCTTTGAGGGCTGTTGAATAGCTAGTATTGATAGTAAACTAAAAGTATTACACAAAAATCTATCTCACAGTCTCTCTCACAGATCTATCTCACAGACAACAGTATTTTTTTTGGATAAAAGAAACCTTGCATCTTTTCTTTATCTGTGTCTCTATCTGATGTCTATGCAAAAATTCTAGATGATGCGATGATTAGTAGGACGCGTAGAACGACAAAAAAAATTTCGCATTCACGAGGTTAACAAATATGGATTACGTCTAATAACTTTAAATCTGAATGTCAAATTTCTTGCTAAAGTAATTCATTAAGCGATTACAATTAATTAATCGTGATAAAATTAAATGATCTCATTATTTGATAAGAGCTTTCATACAAAAGCTCCAAAATGTAATAATTCGTATAGTTAATAAATTACGTTTAATGCATTTTAATTAGTATTTATCCGTTATGTAAACAATAAATATGATTTGCTTACTATCACCTACTGCTACCAGTCCTCAAATAGAGTGGAAGGGGAAAGCGAGATCTACGGCGAAGTAATTATGCATTTCGGTTCGATGGAAGGGACAGCAATTATGCAATACAATTAAGACTTGGCCTTCAAGGGGATAGAGCGGAATGAGCTTCGATAACCACTGCAGCTTAATTTTTTTTTTATTGCTAAGATGCGTAAACGAGCTCATAGCCCACCTGGTGTTAAGTGGTCACTGAAGCCCATAGACATCAACAACGTAAATGCGCCACCTACTTTGAGATATAAGTTCTAAGGTCTCAGTATAGTTACTACGGCTACCCCACCTTTCAATCGGAAATGCATTACTGCTTCATGGCAGAAATAGGCGGGGTAGTGGTACCTACCCGCGCGGACTCACAAGAGGTCCTACCACCAGTAATAAAAAAAAACTGTCATGAATTTCAAAAGAACTAGTAATATCGAGAACGCTCGAGAAGTGTAACGCCATCCGTTATCGAAAAGCGAAAGCACATCGAAACGACTCTTCCTATCGGGATTATATTCTCGATAATTGTAGTTTTGTCGTAGCGTTGCGGAGGTGACACGAAGGCAGTTAGTAATCGGTTCTACTCGAAGCAAAACAACGGACGGATCACCTGAAGCGAAGCGGAAGAAGTAAATTGAGAATTTTAAAGTGTTCCTTAAGCATTCTAAGTATTTAATAGAGTTTTAATTTGTACTTTGGTACAATTTTCATTTATCCCGAACCCCAGCGCGTAACAACATTAAGAATGTAAACTTTGGCATTCTATTATTTTCCTCAAGATTCAAACTATGACATAACTTTAAGTGAGTACTCAAATGACAAAGGTACGATAGTAGTTATTATTAGATCACATGGCTTCTTCCACATGGCTTGAAACTGATTCGAAGGGTGTGACAATTGTTATTCAATATCATTGATAATAATACAAAAACTAATACATCATGTCCCTTAACTGAAAATCGGATTGATGTTCTGATGAATTAAAGTCTGATTGAATTTAAAACAATCCATTTATTTGAAGGCTGTCAGGAAGCTCTATGACATTATATATATAGGCTATAGAATCATCCGTCTGTTGATAAAAAAAATCAAAAGTAATTATGATTTTAGCGTACGAAGTAATCGACACATCAACAATCAGAAACATCCCCTTTTTTTTTCTTTGTTACTACCTATAATATATTTTATAACCTCGAAGGGTTAAACTAGATTCACCGGAGTGGAGCTTACAGGGCTCAGCCTGGCCAATAAGCACTGTTGCCTTGGACTTCTTCCATATCTTCTTCTTATCTTAAACCGAAATTTTGATTCTTTTGATATTTTCTCTTACCTTCCAACTGCTACAAGTGACGTTTCTTCGAAGAAATAGACCAAAGCTGTAAGAGCTCTTCTACCACCTAGTCCAATACTTGAAGCTTTCCCATAACATCTAAACAAAATAGCAACGATAGCCCGAATATAATAGAACATTAATTTAAACACAAATTGTGGCTAAGTGAAAATAATTATATAATCCGGATTATTTCGTCGAATCGAGTAGGCGTTGTTGCCACAAGTCAGCGGATTACGTGAAATTAGAAATTTAGATACTGTTTGATTAATTGGCGGTAATAAAATATGTTAAAATTACAATCCGTAACAAAAACTTACAAATCATTTCTGAGGATGCGTGTGGCATTTTCTCTATGATTAACTAAGAATTAATTCTTAGGATTTACGTTGAGCTTGATCACCTTTCAATCAACAAAAAAATATACGACCTATTTCAACATGTACATCACATTGTATGATTTCATTATTTATTTTTTTGCTTAAACGAGCTCACGGTCCATCTGATATTAAATGGTTGCAGAGCCCTTTGACATCTACACCGTAAATGCCGCCACCAATCTTAAGACAAGAGTTCTAAGGTCTCAGTTTTAATAGTACAACGACTGCGTCATTCTTCAAACCGAAACGCATTACTGCTTCATGGCAGAAATGGACAGGGTGGCTGTATCTACCCATGCGGACTCACAAGACGTCCATCACTAAAAAGCTGTGTTTGGTTAACATAAAAATACCAAATTTGTAACCCATACAATTTAACTTAGATATAATCACAAATTTATCACGCACGGTCATCGGGCGTCAATTAAGAATTCCCTTTGCTACGCATTATATATATCGCAGAATATGTCGAATTATTATTTTTATGTTTGTTGTATCACTCTTGTCAGAGCGGTCGTGGTCGTCCAGTCAGCATCCACCGGCCGGCCACCAAACCGTTGGTCGGATCAGATAACTGCGCTCACTGGACTGTCTGTTGCGAACGCCCTGAGAGAAGCCGAAAACCGAAGCAAATGGAAGCTGAGGTTACGAAGAGCCACGAAGGGATTTCAAGGACACGACCTTCAGCAATGAAGTATTCGACTAAGAAGAAGAAGAATAACCATTAGTTAGCGGTTATTTGCATGAGTGTACATACCGGAAAAGTGGAGATTACTCGTTAGGCCTATAACATCTGACCACAACAATGATACTGACTGGACGACCACGACCGCTCTGACAAGAGTGAAACGACAAACATAAAAATAATAATTCGACATATTTTGCGATTTACATAATGCGTAGCACAGGGAATCCTAAATTGAGGCCTGATGACCGTGCGTGATTTGTTCCTAGTTATTATTATTGTTAAATAAGATGTTATTAGGTTGGGTTTTTAAAACAAAATTGTATATTTCCAAACTTATGAACTATTTTAAATGTCTCATAAAAATCATCTCAGACCGACGTGGTCAGCACGAAAGCAGAGTTTATAAAGCGAATTCCCCCACGAGCATTTACCAGAAATTTCCCTAAAACTTTCCGTGTTCCCATATTACCTCGTGTAACATTACATTCAAGGGAATTCGTATAAATCAAATAGTTTCTGAGTTACGTATTACGAAGCACTTTTGTGGTTTGTTTATCGTAACTCAAGGAATTTACGGTTATGTTTTCTTTTTAAATCACTATTTCATTGGTGTTTAATTGCGTGCACGAAATTTTCAGTGATCTAATAAATGTCTCAATCTATTTACCTGTAGTTTTCAAAATATCTTTAAGTCCGACTCAAAGCTGATTTAATAATGGACAGAATTCATTGTCATCAATACCCAAGATTGTAGGAAGAAAACTATGATTTACAAAGCTAGTTTCGTATTTATCACGACAAGAAAGCCAAACTATGAAATTTTTTTTATTGCTTAGATGGATGGACGAGCTCACAGCCTACCTGATGTTAAGTGGTTACTGGAGCCCATAGACATCTACAACGTAAATGCGCCACCCACCTCGAGATATAAGTTCTAAGGTCTCAGTATAGTAACAACGGCTACCCCACCCTTCGAACCGAAACGCATTACTGCTTCACGGCGGAAATAGGCGGGG